GAACCCTGTCCAACCGTCACATGTACCACGGCAACCCCCGCTTCTGCTCCCATCCGGGAAACGGGTAGCACGCCAAGGCGTCCTGCTCGGCTCGAAAAGCGTGCCCCGCCGGCAACGGGTGCAACTCGTCCCCCTGCTCGTCGCGCCCCAGCCTCTCTTTTAGAAGCGAGCGCTCATGACCGCTCATTCTCTCCCACTGTTGGGGGCTTGCCTCCAACCTTTCGACCCCTGGGAGCAGCTCGTTTGCCAGCCCTCGCGCCTCGTCCAAGTGCCGCCGCTCCTCGATGCTCAGGGGACGCCGTCGAGCCTCCGCGAAAAGGTCGACCGCTCGCTCGAACGGGTCGATCGCCTCGTGCACCCAGCCCCGCCGCCCCCCGGCCTCAAAACCCGTTGGACCCCGAGCCAGGAGCGCGATGAGGTAGAGGTGGTAGAGCGTGCACGTGAAGAAGGCCGGAAATGTGAGCCCTCCGTACGAATCCAGGATACGCCGCAAGATGGGCGCCTCTCTTGCCAAGTCCCGCCGGTCCTCGAGAGTTGCTTCGCCTCCCAGCAGCAGCTTCCGGACCACGTGCAATGCGCCAGGTCCGATGAGAGCCTCATCGCTGTCGTGCGCGCCGAGGGAGTACAGGAGCTCCGTCCACTCGCCAACCCAGTGGTCCCACAGGTCTAGGCTCAACCCTCGCCTCTCGAAGTCGGCCTGAATCCCCGTGAGCAACTCGAACACAGCCCGATTGCAATCCAGCACCATCGTTTGCTGCTCTACAAGGAGGCGCCTCCTGCCATCTTTGGAGAGCGGCCCCTCGGCTTCCTCGGGCCCAAAGCGCTTGACGACCCTTGGGTCATCATGGCTCAGACAGTCAAGGAGCCCCCCAAAATCCGCCCTTGACAGCCTCTTCCCAAGCTTCTCGTCCCTGGGCCGATGTTGGGACAGGCGCGCGAGCGCCTCGCGCAACTCCGGTTGGAGCAGAAGCTTGCGCTTCAAACCTCCCCCCTGGAGGCCGGCCCCGCAGTAGTTGCGCCCCGAGATCGACTTCTTCTCGAGCGGCTTCCCCGTCAAGTACCGACTTGGGTGACAGAAGGTGCGCCTCGCATCCAGGGAGGAGCTCCCGAGCCCTCCTGGCTTTTGCGCGCCGTCGGCGCTGGCGAGGCCAACGATGCCGTCGCAGATGAGCACCTGCGTGTGGGCAGAAGTCGGGTTCAAAATCGTGTACATCAACACGTATGTTGAATTCGTGGTATGGCCGGCTTGACAATGGGGCTCGTCTCTACCGGCGTCTCCTTGCCTTTGCCGTTGATGCGGAGTTGACTACTAGGCTACACCTGGTAGTCGCGCTGGAGTACTGGGCTTTTAGCCTTGTTTGTTGGCAAGACATGAGCGAAAGCACGGGTCAATGGGTCTTCTGACCCCATCCTCTTGATTCAGACGCTTTGCATATATGTATCGAAA